CAATTTATTTCTGCCGGATTCTTAGTAGTAGTTCATTGTTTTGCTTGGCATCTGTTCAGTTGCTCATAAACTCGTGGTTTTCTTTGGCAGCACTGAAAGTTCATGAGCTCTCTCAGAAGGCAAAGAGAGGAGTTTCGGATCATTTTACCTATGGTTACATTCCTGATCCCTTCATGCCTGAGATCGTTCAACTTGCTTTGTTCTAGCTGTTCTCGCAAATTGCAAAAAGAGAAGACAAAAGTCATTGTTTTTGCGGGGCAAGGAGAAGAGAGAGAGGGGCATACGTGTCTTTATGAATGTACGTATGTACATAAACTCTGGGATTTTTGCCAGTAATCCTTTTAAATTCAAAAAGCTTTTCATAATTATAAATTTTGTTATATCATTGGAATTGAAAACACAAATCTAAATAAATATGCGCTTCGATAATTCGTTGTGTCTATTTATAGTATTTTCCCCGTTTTCCACATTGCGTGGTATATTTTTCTTTGCGAAGCTATATATTTCGATGTTCCCTGAAGTGAAAACTACTAATTAGTATTGAATTTTATTTATTTATTAACATTCTCTGTAGTAATTTTAATATGATGAAAGTAGATTAAAGTAGAGTGCGTTATAATGACATCGAACGGAATTGACAAACACGTCATAATAAGCGGACGTCATACAAATCGTTTTGTGAAATGAAAAACCTTTTTTATGTAAATATGTATTTACTTAAGTATTTTAATACAGAAACATAGTAATTAAATATGTATACAAACATATTTATTAAATCAAAATCAAAATTGCACGTAATCAGCACATTATAACACGTACAATTGTATTTTTTTACTGTAAGTAATCTGTAATTTTTGTCTGCTTTTGTTTTTTCATTTTATTGTAAAAACAGTCTCTAATACTATTGTGTATAGAAGACATAGCTATGTTCAAATTATCATTTTCAATATTGCTGTGAACAAATCGTGATAATAATTCTGCAGCTTTTAATGCCTCTTCCGCGGTAGGTAATGTTGCTTCCTCGACTGCCTCTTCCCCATCACTTTCTAGTTGTTCCATAGCACTAATGTTCTGTACGATTTTTTATCGGTGGGTTCTTCGGATGTGAGGAGAGGTCAACATAATCTTCCCACATTTCCGGTGCTGCTGAAGAATCTAAATTTAGGTTTCGTGACCACAAAGATAAAGGAATGCCATCTTCTTCATCGAATTCATGTTCTCATATTTGAATAGGTAAACCGTCGTGGCGTATAATGAATCCTGCATGTTTGAAACAGTTATGAATGGTACTTTGTGACATTTTATTCCAGGCATCATTAACCATCAGAATTGCATCTAGCACCGTTATTTTTGTAGAAGAGCGGAACACAAAGATCTTTCTAAAATTCCTTTTGAGGAATCGTATTATTCCTTGATCCATTGACAGTAGTACTGATGTTGTATTCGGCATACGGAGAACAAGTGCTATAGACTTTTATTACCAACCAGCAATATAATCTTTTTCTTCTTCTTCACCAAATCACGATCCCAATCACGAAGCCATTTTTCAAAAATTTCTGACGTCATCCAAGCTTTACGATTGTTAGCATAATCGACAGGTAATGATTTGACACTAATACATCTTGGTTTTTGTGACTTTCCAATAATGAGCAATTTCTCTGTGTAAATTTTAAAGTTTTTTCCGGCATTAATTTGTAAATAAGATCAGTTTCATCAGCATTAAATATCTCATCATCATAAAATTGTAAATATAAATTCGTAAATTGGGCCATACAGATATCAACCAGTTTGTTGTTGAATTTTGTTCAACAGACGAAGATTCATCGACAATTTTTCCCACCACATTGTTATGTCGAACTTTAAAACGACTGATCCAGCTTGCAGAACAATTGAAGTCGAGAATACCAAAACATTTGCCTTTCCCTGTAGCATAGGGCCACTGACAGGTATTCCTTTGTTTCTCATGTTTTTAAACCACTGAATTAATGCTTGATCAACATTTTCTTGTGATTTTCGAAGCCTCTTCGTTATCAAAACATTTGACTTGAACGATTGCTTAATACGGTTCTTGTTTTTAAAAATGATTGAAATTGTCGAATGACCTACGGCAAATTCCTTCGCGAGACATGAGTTAGATTCTCCATTTTCTAGTCTGTATATTATTGCATCTTTCTTCTCAATTGTAAATGCTTTACGTCGTTGAGACACACATTTTTTCACAGTAACAAACGAAAAACAATGCGTGACCTTCAAGCTTTACTCACTGAGATTCCAAATAAAAACGAGCCACGTGCCGAACGTCGTCGGGAATCAACGAACACTACCAGAGGTGTTTAGAATCATGTCGGTCATTATAACCAGACATAACTTATTAAAAATGGGTCATAATAAGCGACATGTCACTCTAAGGGAAGTCATTATATCCGACTTTTTTTATAAAGAATTTTATATGAAAACCAAACTTCGTAGTGTATTTACGTCAAAATAACCGGTTGGTCAATATAGGCAGAGTCATATTAAACGGATTCTACTGTACATACAAATGTACATATGTACATTTGTGGTGTAATGAATTTAATTTCTATTAGTAACAAATATAATACAAAAATTTTATAAGGAAAATATATTATGTAAAAGCCAAAGAAAAGTATTAAGTGTACTGCTCCATGTGCTCAAATTGCCCATAAATAATACGTTGAAAAATACATATTTTAATTAGAATGTTATCAGTTTTCCATGCATTTGCACAATGATATTCATATCAATACATACGATTGCATACATTATGTAAGTATGAACATATACAAATGAATACATATGTATGGATTTAGTCATAAATTATGTCCCTAAGTTTACAATGCATACAGGGAGAACAAATTCGCAGAAAAAAGCTTAGTTATTATACTCTCGCAACATGTTGCTACAGAGTATAATAGTTTTTTTCACCTAACGGTTGTTTGTATCACCAAAAACTAATCGAGTTAGATATAGGGTTATGTATATATAAATTATCAGGATGAAGAGACCGAGTCCGTCCACCGTCGGACGGACAGTCCGTCTGTGCAAGCATTGACACGTTTCTTGGTACCGTAAGAAGGTTGGTATTGCAGATGAGCGTAATCGGAACACTGCCACGCCCACAAAACGTCATTAATCAAGAACAAATAAATTGCCGTAACTAAGCTTCACAATAAGATAAAAGATTTGGTATACAGGATCAAATTAAGGAGGGCCATCTACAGTTAAATTTTTTTTAAAAAGTGGGCGTGGTGCCGCCTTCTAATAGATTTAATGTGCATATCTCCTAAACCGCTAAAGCTATAATAACAAAATTCACTGAGAGCAAATGCTTTTAGCACCTCTATCGACAGTGTGAAATCGGGTGACAACCCCGCCCACTCCCCAAATAACGGCACTGTTAAAAACAACTAAAAGCGCGTAAATCAAGCACTAAACACGCCAGAGACATTAAATTTTACCTCTGTAATGGTATGAGATGACCTTATAGGAACCGACCTCAAAATTAAACAGTGGGCGTGGCACCGCCCACTTTTAGGTGAAAACCCATATCTTGGGATCTGCTTAAGCGATTTTCTGTACAAACCATTCATCATATTTCAATGTTATAGTGCGAAAATGGACGAAAGCGGATAACAACTACGACTATTTCCCATATAACACCATTTTATATTCCATCTGATTCTTTCACTTTCCACTATGCAAATCAAGCAACAATTGTATTGGGGTTAAGCTTTGCGTAAATACTGCGTTTAAAGTATGCCACCTTGTGACTAAAAATTGTCTAAATCGAACTAAAACTGTTCAAGCCCCTAGGTACTGAATATGTGGATCCCAGTGCCTATAGTTAACTTTTTACCGAATATATCGGTCCATGTGGAAGATATAATTGAAATTCATATAATAAAATAAATAAATGAAACTCTCGACAATAGTATGTCTTTGTGTCAAAAATGGGTTGAATCGGATCAATACTTCTTTTAATATAAAATTTTGCCAACACCTGAAGTAATTTCCCGATCTTTGATCCTTGCAAGTTGCCAGCGTATAAAATGTTCGGTTACACCCGAACTTAGAACTTCCTTACTTATTTATTATAATTTGCAGTGTTATTCTTAAATTATGTACTTAGGTAAAATCATCAGTTTAGTGTTTGCTTTCGCTTTTTAACATTGCAGTTGGGATCTAAAGAAAATCGTATTGCGCTGATTGCTTTACATAAGCGTGGAATATCTGTAAGCTGGAAAAAATATATCGGGAATGTTTGTTTGCTGCAGTATTGAACGTTTTTCCTAAACGTCCACAGGTGGTGACAGAAAGAGAAGTGGTCGTCCTCCCGTAGTACGCCAGACATAAAAACTGTTCGCGAACGGATTTTCAGAAATTAGAAAACAGAAAAATATGTCAAGGGAAATGAAACGGATATTTCGCCCAGATCAATGTCAAGACTTATTCGAAATGATTTCCACATGAAAGCTTACCGTCGGCCAACTGGTTATCTTCTGACAACGCTCAACAGATGCAAGCGGCTGCTTAAAAGGCGCGCTGTCAATGGCTATAAAAGTATAATTTTTTCTGCCATCCCGTTGCTGTATTGGTTTGATGGTGACTCTCCTGTAAAGGCGTTACACCTCTTCACTTCTGTGAAAAAGAACTAAAACTGGGACTATAATAGGAGGATGTTTTTAAAGGCGTGGTGAAGCAGTTACGGAATACTCTCCTGAATGAAAAGCATTGGATCTTACAGCAAGATTCTCCTTCAGCACACAAGCAAAAACCACATCTTCATGGCCGTCTGAAAGTCCAGATTTTCACTTTAAATAATTGTTAATTTTATACTTTTCAACTGTTTTTTTTAAGGTATAATAATAAAATACATACCTAAAACCTCAGCAGTAAGCGGACAAAATGATATCGACATCAGGTAAACATTTTAAACGTTTGCGACAATTAACAACTTGACAATTTTTCGTAGTGATTAATTCTCGCCTGGACCTTTAAAGCGAACATTTCGCAGAGAGTGGTTTAAATTGGCGATTTGCTTGTAGAAAAGAAAGGACATGCATTAAATGTAGCTAAATTTTATTGACAGCTATGGTTTATTTGTATGAACCTATTTTCCCAATTGTTAATTGAAATAAAACCCAAAGTTTTGATGATAAAAAACTTAAGTAGTTTTGCAACAGATTTGGTAGGCATTTTGATTACCAAAGATTTTCCCAAGAGGGAACACTGATTATATGATCTCAGTCCCTGGTCTTGCTACCACTTTAACCAGGTAACACGTTTGAAAGAAAAATTAGCGAAATGAGAGAGTATCCCATTGTGCCATCCTTTGTCGATTTATCAAGCCTTCATTATAATTGTAAACAACGCCTTCTACTCCTTTCGTTTATGACGTCACGAATGTATTCTTTTTTTTGTCAAACACACTAAAGAAATATAATCGCCCCGTTACTGTCTCTACTTATATGATATTTGATGTCTGTAAATCGGATATAATTTCCTAGAACATCCAACAGCTAAAAACTAAGTTCGAACAAGTTTGCCTCAATCTGGTTTGAGCAAAAGTAACTTGAGTTGAACATCAGACCAACACCAGCAACGGCACTAAGCAACGAACCGAAATGGTGGTTCAAAACGAAAGCTTAGCTACAAAACGCGCTTAGCCTCGCTGCAGTTTGTTTGCGAAGTTCGTGCTAAAAGGTGGTGTTGGAAAGAAATATATTCTGTTACGCGTACGTTAAGCGTGAAACACAAAAATTTGTGAAAAAGTGCAAATGTATATATAAATAAGCATTGCTTTACAACAGTAAATCAAAGGCAGATGTAAATGTGCATTGTTTATGTGTTGCGAAATCGACAGCCGTGAAGCCCGCGCGGAAAGTATTTAAAATTAGTGCAAATAATTTGAATATTTGCTTTTTAAGCCCGGAAATTTGAAATTGAGTAAACTGCATTTCCTACAGAGGAAAAAGTACACGATAAACAATAATTATAGAGCATGAAATTTTGAATAATGAAAGCAAATTATTGAAACAGCGTCCATTAAAATACATTAGCCAAATGCGTTTATAGCCACATAGTTAGTAGGCAGAATTCCAAAATAGGAAGTAGCAAAGAAACAAAGTGAGAAAATAACTAAAAACCTATAAATAACTTATTTTTGCCAAAGCAAATACAAAAAACTAAGCCAGTGGGAGAGTGGCGAAGAAAAGTAAGAAACGTAACAGCTAAACAAGTGCAAGGAACCGCAAACAGTCGCCCACTTTGTGCACGCTGCACTACCGCGTATCTGTCTCGCCGTTTGCGTGTCGCGCATGTGCAGTGTTTTGTTTAGATATTTTGTCTCTCAAACATACGTATTTCTGCAACAAAAAACCATACAGCATGCCAATTTTTCGCTATTAACGCGCATTTTGTTGTCTGTTTCTTACTTTTTCAAATTATTTTCTCTAATTGTGGCTTAAGCAACAGCTCTGCACAGTTTTGGGTGCGTTAAGTGTGTTTTTCTTTGAACTACTGTGAGTAATAGAAGGAAAACATAATAATAACACAACGAAGATGCTCAAAAGTGAAATTTTTAGTCTTTGGCTGCTGGCATTTGCCTCTTTCCTTGCATTGCAGTTGCTCGCCGGCTCCGCTGAAGCCTTCACCATACTCTCGCCCTTCAGCTACACCTCTTTGAGCTTTAAGAATCTGCTTAATTCAGTGTTTTTAGCCAGTAATGCGAATTTGGCGGGTGGTGGGAGAAATCTAAAATCGGATATTCTTGAGGATGCGTCACTGATAACGGTACGTATATAATAGTAACATTATATTAGTATATAAAATTCTCTATTTATACATCTAGTAGTATCTCAAATAATACGTATTTGAATATTATTTATTCGTGCCGAATATATTAAATGACTTCACTTATTCGGTTGCTCATAGTGTCAAATCTCAAATTATACAAATCGGCGTTTGTCAGTTACGTTGATACGAAATGTCACCACCGATAAAATTTAAAACTAATTGTCATTTAAATACACTGGTCGACAGTGGTGTTGATGCCCTAGATAATTAAATCGATTTTGGATATGAGCACAAATATTCATGAAAATATCGATGATTTTGTAAGATTTGCTCTCGTTTCTTTTAAACTTTTAAAATATTTTCATTTTACATTATAAACATAAAACAAAATAACTGTTATATTTATAATGTCAGTTTTGTTTTGAAAAATAAGTATACATTGAAGTAAACAAATAGAGAACTATAGAAAACATATGTTGTATATTTAAATAAAACGCCCTTTATGAGCACTTCTATTACAATCTTTATCAGTCTTTTTTCAAGGATCAGCAGTAATCTGCCATCATGTGACCATTACATCAACCTTAATAATTTTTGTCCCTCACTTTAGGTCCTGGTAAAACCGCTCTCCCTATTTATACTCTCGCAACCTGTTGCTACAGAGTATAATAGTTTTGTTCACCTAACGGTTGTTTGTATCACCTAAAACTAATCGAGTTAGATATAGGGTTATGTATATATAAATGATCAGAATGAAGAGACGAGTTGAGATCCGGGTGACTGTCTGTCCGTCCGTCCGTCCGTGCAAGCTCTAACTTGAGTAAAAACTTAGATATCTTTATGAAACTTGGTAGACATGTTTCTTGGTATCGTGAGACTGTTTTTATTGGAGATGGGCGTAATCGGCCCACTGCCACGCCCACAAAACGCCATTAATCAAAAACAAGTAAATTGCCATAACTAAGCTCCGCAATAAGATAAAATACTGGATTTTGGTACACAGGATCACATTAGGGAGGGGCATCTGCAGTTAAAAAAATTTTTTTAAAGTGGGCGTGGTCCCGCCTTCTAATAGATTTAATGTGCATATCTCCTAAAACGCTTAAGCTATAATAACAAAATTCACTGAGAGCAAATGCTTTTAGCACCTCTATCGACAGTGTGAAATCGGGTGACAACCCCGCCCACTCCCCATATAACGGTACTGTTAAAAACTACTAAAATAAATCAAGCACTAAACACGACAGAAACATTACATTTTATCTCTGGGATGGTATGAGATGACTTTATAGGAACCGCGTTCAAAATTAGACAGTGGGCGTGGCACAGCCCACTTTTAGGTGAAAACCCATATCTTGGGATCTGCTTTACCGATTTCAACGAAATTCGGTGCATTACGTTCTTTTCATATTTCTATGTTATAGTGCGAAAATGGGCGAAATCGGACTACAGCCACGCCTATTTCCCATATAACACCATTTTCAATTCCATCTGATTCTTTCACTTTCCACTATGCATATCAAGCAACAATGATTATATCGGGGTAAAACTTTGTGTGAATAATACGTTTAAAGTATGCCACCATGTGACCAAAAATTGTCTAAATCGAACCAAAACTGTTCAAGCCCCTAAGTACTAAATATGTGGACCCCAGTGCCAGTAGTTGACCTTCTACCGAAAATGTCAGCCAATCCACAAAGAAATCTCAAAAGAGTATACCATTTGACTTTGCGAGAGTATAAAATGTTCGGTTACATCCGAACTTAGCCCTTCCTTACTTGTTTATTGCTATCATACGCTATAAATATAGCGCAAGCATCCACGATATATTTCTAAACGCATAAACATTTTTCTAAACTGATATTCAGCTTAAGTTTGACAAAAATAATCATTAGAACACAATGTCTTTCACCCAATTCAGCGTATTGAAATTTTATTAACTGATTTTCCTAACTTGCTTTATAAAAAACCACACAAATATTCTTTGATTCCCACTATGTTCTTAATGAGTTCCTCCAATAAGTTTTAGAAGCTGAAAAGCAACGAGAAACCTTCAAACAGCAGACCCATTAAGATGGTGTCAGTTTGTATAAACCTATAAGAGTGTACAAAGGCAAAAATTAAGTTTCTTCACAGTGTTTACCAACGGCTCTAATGGTCATTGTCACAATTGTCATTCTTACGGAAACACTCATGCATTCGTACATTCACGTTCAACTCAATATGAAGTCAGTATTGTCTCCATGTTCTGATTAAGTCAGAACAGTTTCTTTTCATTTTATTTGAAAAAATCAAAGGTAATTTTGAGCCGTATCATTATTATCTACTTTTGGGTGTTGATGCTCTCGTTAACCTAGCTACCATACCAATAGCAAATATATTGAATTATAGTTGTTAGCACTGTGTAGGGCTGATAGTAGCACACTCACGGTTCCCTATTTATTGTATTGTATATAATAATATATCAATTTTATACAGACTGGAATAATGTGTTGAATATTTCATGTGCTTTCCAATGGCAAACCTCTTAGTTAGTGATAAAATTAATTGAAATATGAGTAGTGGGGCCTGTCTATGGCTTTCGTTTGAATGGACTTACAATGTAACCCTTAGAGCTTAGTGGTAAGCGCACAAAACGATAATCTTGTTTAAGAAAATAGAAATATTATTATAAATTACTGAAAGTTTTAACATATTTTCTACTATGTCTATATGACGAGATATCGAGATCTTAAGACGATTGCCGATTGGACTGTACGAATTGATATCTTCAAGTGAGAGAAAGGATTATTTTTATAAGGAAATCGTCACAAATTTGAAAAACATGTTTAGCCATGAAACGTAGTATTGTAGTAAATAGATATTTGAGCTGATACAGAAACAAGCCAATTTTCTTTGATTTTTCCAGAATCCAAAATAATTTGTGCAAAAATAATAAGAGTTCTGTGGGGTGAGAGAGGAACTGTTACACTTTATAGTTTTGAAGTGTAGTATCCGTAAGCAGAATAAACGTGAAATTTTCTTTTTTTATTTTATATAGAAATCTCGGCTATTGCCGGAACCAGCGATCCACGGAATGGTAGTAGTTACATATTTATTTTAGTTGGATTATAATGTAACATTTTTATAAGGCTTCACTTATGCCATATTGAAAAGACAAAGACAAATTGACAAAATTCTACTTTTGCAAACCGATGTACAAGTACGTAAACAGGTTCGAAATTAGTTTGTAAATTTCGGATTGATTTGCACAGCATCTTTTCCAACTGCACAATAAGTTCTACTAAACCTCCCACAATAAAGTTCTTACTTTGTAAAAATAAATTAATATGGGTATGTTTATTTGTTTATAAACGTATTTTGAATATACATAGCTATCTAAATATCCTTATATTCATGCAAAAAACTTTTATAATATTTGAACTGTCCTGAATTGCTTTTTTCAATACATATAAATATATTTTCAGTACATATAAATAATAAACTAAACACTAGGGTAAAAACCTATTTCATTATTTTCAATATATTTCTTTAAATTTTTATACTCTCGTAACATGTTGCTACATAGTATAATAGTTTTGTTCACCTAACGGTTGTTTGTATCACCTAAAACTAATTGAGTTAGATATAGGGTTATATATATAATATATAAAGGATGAAGAGACAAGTTGAAATCCGGGTGACTGTCTGTCCGTCCGTCCGTCTGTCCGTCTGTGCAAGCTGTAACTTGAGTAAAAATTGAGATATCTTTATGAAACCTGGTACACATGTTTCTTGATACCGTAAGACGGTTGGTATTGCATATGGGCCCACAAAACGCCATTAATCAAAAATAAATAAATTGTCATAACTAAGCTCCACAATAAGATAAGATCTACAGTAAATTTTTTTTTTTAAAGTGGGCGTGGTTCCGCCCCTAATAGGTTTAAGCATATCTCCTAAACTGCTAAAGCTATAATAACAAAATTCACTGAGTTTCGATGAATGTTTTTAACATCTCAACTACGGTATGAAAATGAAAATAATATTCTTCTTATATTCCTATGCTATAGTGCGAAAATCGGATTACAACCACGCATATTTCCCATATAACACCATTTTAAATTCCATTTGATTTTTTCACTTTCCACTATGCAAATCAAACAACAATGATTTATCTGATTTATAAAATGGATGAAATCGAGTGAAAATTTTACCTGGCCCCCATGTAACTAATATCAGGATTTTCGAACATTCGTCTGACTTGACTCCATATGATTGGTGATGGTATGTGAGGTACCTTAATGAAACATTGGGAGCATTTTATTAGTCTATGGCATGTTAGTAGTATGTAGTATAGGCAAAAATTGATAAAATCGGGTTAATGCTACCCTCTACTTCCATACACTACTTATAATACTTCTCGTATGTCGGTCAGTAAGTATTAAAATTTTTTTTGTATATAAAATTGCTTCAAAATATGGTCTCTATGCTCGAGTATAGCTGTGCAATGTAAAAATTAATATCTTTCTCTATCCTTAATATATATATGATTTCCGTCTTTTCTCTTGACTTTAAACCGTTCCGGTTGATCAAAATGTGATATTTTAATGTAATTAAGGGGATAAGTTTTTTAAAAATTATGTGCTTTGACGCTGAATTAGAATGAAAATTGTATATACCTTAATCTAAACCTCACACCTTCATATAATTAATTCCGATTCTCTGGTTGGCGTTTTCCACACAAGCTTATAATATAAAATTTAGCCACTTTGGTCGAGTTAATATCACATTCATACTTATGTATATCTCACTTCAAGATGTTTTTTGTTTTTTTTTTTTATATAATTTTCGCTGACGCAAACTAAAATATAGCAATAAAACTGAGACTAAGTTTATGGTCTTTAATATAAGTCAAGAAGATACCAAAGTTGATTGTAATTTAATCACGAATTCATTTAATAATGGAGAGAATTAATTCTTTCTCAACTTTGCCACACCTGAAGAAATTCCCTGGC